GCCCACATGTTAGCGTTTACATCTGTTGATGTGTACACACATCAACACATTAACGCCGGCGTACATGCCAATGTTGCACTAGAACTGATATGCTGACCTTGCTGTAATTCGGCGTTGCATCGATGACAGTGCACAGTGTTGAAGGACTCTATTTGTGATTGCCATTTTAAGGCCAGTAGGTCACGGTCCCCTTGAGACACAACTCCTTTGAGACAAAAAAGTTTTACACAATGTTTTTCAAAACACCACTACCATCACAATGACCGTTCCCTCAATCAACCCTGGGTGGACATTCACCAATACCCTTGCTCCTCTTGTCCACACTACAAAGTCATCAAAATACCATAGACAACCCGCTGACATTCACTCCCCAATAGAAATGTCCTCCGTACAACTCCTCTGTACTTCACAGTCCGATGGAAACTCCTCTCTAGTGCTATACCCTTCTTCCAAATCACTGGATGGGGACTTTTCTGCCCGGTCCTTCCCCCTTGCTGATGCCACTGCCCAATCGACCTGCCCCTTTTGCAGATTTTCCGTTAGCTCTTGACGTATTAAATCGCCCACTTCTTGAAACAAACGTTGGCAGTCCGCCCAATGCGCTGCCAAAAAGGACTGGACTTCCAAAGGCAAATGGCGAGCCTCCGGAACGGAAAGAACGTGCAGTGGAAGGTCTCTCTACTCTACCCAAATATGCTCAGTCGCAGTCCTTTTTGCGAATGGAAAACCTTCGGAGGAATTAGCGTTTTCCTCGTCTTCCCTTTGTTTTTTTACAACTTCTCGGCCGTTTGACGGCTGATTGGTGAATGGCGACGAATATTCTTTGAGTTCACTGTCTTGGGGTCTTGACGGACTTACAGGATTTTACTAATTTCAAACGTCAACTTCAACGATAGCTCAATGGACATTCACACTCGATTCCGCTTTGATTGATACCAATGCCTCACTGTCCAATACTTTATATTGACAGTTCTGATCAGAAATCACACTTCCAACACTCCAATGCACAAGAGACACACACACACACAACCAACTCTTCCGCTTCAATCAGCTCTTAAATCATTAAAACAACACAATTACAACAACCCCACAGTTATCAATGTCTTGTCCATTCAGATTCAACATAACACACTTGGTACTAGTCACTCCCTTTCCACTTGCCGGCCAAATAACCCCAATCTGTCCGCTCTCAGCGTCTCCCCCTCCTCGATCCTGTCCAATCCTGACCGACAGCTTTTTGGGTCAGGCTACAGGTCGCTCAATCCGTCGCTTTCCATCTTGGGCTGGAGGCGCTGGGCGATTGGGAGGCTTGGGGGTAGAGTGCTGTCCAAATGGCACCACCCGCCAGTTTATATGCTCCAGCGGCTGGTCACAACGCGAACCCCCTTTGCCATCGCCTCATGACACTTCCCACTGCGAATTTCACTCCAATTCGCAGTGCACAACGAGTTTTCCAGCCGCTCGGCTAGTTTACATGCCTCACCACTTTATTTGATAATGATTATCATCCGTTTACTTCATCACAACCTAGTAACCCCTTCGCCCCTTCGCACAATACACCTTCCCATTTCCAACGCTTTTTCCCATATGATAAGACCTTATCTCATGGTTTAGAGCGTTTAGTTCAGGCAACCGTCGTCACAGTTCGGCTGCCTAAGTACTACCACCTAACCATATTCAAATTCTCCCCAAATCCCCTACAAATACCCCCTCCGGTACTCAAGACCGGTTTGTTTTTCACTTTCTAATGGCAGTCTAACAAAACGGTCTATGGGGTCAGGAGGACCAAATCCATATACCCACACTTGTTGGTCTTCATCATACAAGAGAAAACCTCCGTTGGCACCAAGGCCAACGTATCATCCAGCCAAGAAACGCGTGGTGGAGCGCCTCCAACGTTTTTGTTCGATTACGTTCTATGCTCCACGGCCTATTCTAACATCATTGACTATCCTTGCCCCTGTGAAGTTTTCGACTTCGCCCATCGCTCTCCGCGGGACGCGCCCGCTCTCGAGCACGGCCCTGCCGCGCTCAACGAGGCGCCGCTGAAGTGAGTCCAATTCCGGTCGCGGCACATCGCGCCAATCCTCCGAATGGCCAGCCCCAACGTCGGTCTCCCCTTTGGGGAGATTTTCCAGGGCCACCCGTGCAGCCAAGGCGGCATCGGCCGCATCCGACTGTTGCAAACGGGCGCCCTCCTCCCGGAGCTCCTCGCAAAGCTCCTCAATCGCACTTTCCGAAATAGCCTGGGTGATCGGTGACGAACGGCCAACATCCTCCGGACTCTCCATTCCCCTCCAGCCATCCAATGTACTGCGCTCTAGCAAGCCAAGAACGACGTCGAGCTTGCCTTCGAGTCGCCGCAAGGTCGACTCGTTCTGCGCCATGCGGCGTGCCAATTCCGCCACATCCGCCGTAGGAATCGCCCCATCGAGCCGCACGGGGGCCCCCTTCATTCCCGCTTCCTCGGCAAGGATCGCATCAACCTCCAGGGTCCGTCCAATCCGGCCGCCACGTTGGGCCATAGCTGCAGCTTGTACTCGCCGGCTTGTGCGCTCACTCGCGAACTCTCAAAGGCCGTCGGCGTCCACCCTATCAGGTCGCGCGCGCAATGGGGGCAGCACGGCGCAGGCAGCTGACTGCCCGCCGGATGTAGCGCCCCATTCTCCGCGTAAATGCAATACATTTAACGGTATACATTTGGTATCGTGCGGCTGCCACTGAACAGCGTTCCATCAGTAATATTCCCTGACATTTGACCTTTTTGTTGGACCCTTGGTGATGTTGTATCATGTTCATTCAGTTTGAAAGCAAGTGGCATGTCCCAACACCTTAATCTTCAATCTTTCCTTTGATTGTGTCTTTTCCGGGAACTTTAACAACAGACAATGCTACGTAAATTTCTACCCAGTTGCGCAGTATGTACAACAACGGAGTGAATCAGTTGGTTGAATCCCTCTTGCAAGAGGGACGGGCTTCAGCAACGAATGGGGACAACCACGGCATCGGCCAATAGTTAAGTCTGGCATTGGGAGTAGGACCTGAGGAACTATGAGGGAGTGTACGTGGGTGGTCTGGGTTCTAGTTGGTAGCTGTACCGAGCTAGCGTGGGCCACGGGATCAGTGACTTGGCAAGGGGATATCCCCCCTCGACCAGACAGGCAGCCCGTCAGATCGTGAAAATGGCCTGTACGAGCATTCTGAACAGTCATCGATCAACCGTGACAGCAGTGAGCTAAGAATAACGCTCATGACATATGCAAGTGTGAGTGCAGTTCTCGAGTAAGAGAGCGTCTCAACCCGTGTGGCCTACAGTGAAAGCCTCCCATGCCCTCTATGTCATCGCAGCCCAAAGGCCCTGGAAATATTGCAGCCGCGCAAGTGCGATTTCGGATCGCCTTCAACATTACCATTTCTCAACATAGTATGTGGATAGTATGATATTGTCATCAGTTCATCTGCCGATGCACCAGTCCACCAAAGTGCCAGGGTTGCGTGTAATGTTGGAACATACACAAAAAGGAATCTTTATGTGTGTCAGAATTTGCGATTTGTGTTCCTGCGCTGGACAATTGGTTTGGCCTCCACTACTGGAATATGCCAGGGCTCGGTCAATGTTTATCAAACATTGTTGGAGAAGAAAGTTTTGTGCTAACTGCCAGCAATTCAGCCACATGAAAACCGATGACACCCCAGCCTTCGACTCGAGTTCCCCACAGCTGCATCTCGCACAGATGCATGGCAGGCGCCAAGTGCAATTGGCAATTGCGCAATTGCTGACATGCTGTCTCCAAAGCTGAGTCATCGGTACGCCGATGACAGTGCACCGGTAAATATATCGCAATATATAGCAGTGCGCAAGGCGATTGGCAACCTGGCTCATTGGCGCGCCATGCACTTCGTCAGGTGCCAATATGTCGTCAACTACAACAGTACCCTTGAGCACGGTACCCCACAAAGCGTGACGAGTGGGTAGCAATGTACCTCCTATGCCTTGCCCCATACATACTGTCCACAAAATGATAGGAAAGACAACTGTTATGCAGGCCACCTTGGACTGTCCACATTGTTCATAGTCGCAAATTTAGACTCTTGGCGACATCAATTAATAAAAGACTTGAATGATTGAGAAGAATTCGTTTTGAAATCCAAGCCATGCTGGACCCGTTTTGATGCTGTCGGTATACGAGGATTGGAGCCCTGCCTATCGGAAAGTTATCAGGCGAGAGTCTATGGCCCATGGCTGCATTTTTTCCCTCTACACCTTTAGAGTTGAAGGTCAATCACCCAGCAACCAGTTTGGTTGAATCCTGAAGGGCATCGATGCCTGCGAGGGATAGAACACGCAAGGGACACATTTTCACCCAATTGCAGGGTCACGTCCCAAGAGGGTGATGCAATGTGCCAGGACAGTGCCCATCGTAATCAGTCTTGATTGCTGCAATAGATTTCCATGACCTCTTGCTGGCATTTTAAACATCGAAGCACAATTTATACCTTCTTGGTGCCTAGGCACGGACAAAACGCACCAGCATCGTAATGTTCATCCTTTCAGAAGCTGTCATCGTAACTGGCAGGGCAACACTGGGGATATGGCATGTACGAATCGCCAGCATCGTCTGAAGGCTAAGCCCATACCAGCGACAATGACAGCGGACATGGGCCTTAGCAATAGCCTATGGGGCACTCTTCACTGACTGAGTGAATCTTAAACACAGTGAATCAGTGCCAAAAATCATGCACAGCACAAACAATGCTAAAACGGCGATTTCAGACGAGCTTATTTGCATCACAATAATACAACCCAAACGGCATCCCTTTGTTGGTCCAAAAATCACAGCCTCAGTGGCCAACATGTCGCTGTTTTTTTGGCAAGTCTGTGTTCATTCCATGCTGGGTTGTATGCCATAATGTCATGTGGAACAGTAACCCTTGCCGTACCCCACAAGCTGCAAGGGCAGTGCTCTGCCACATTCCGTCTGACACCATCAAACAATTTATCATATCATATGCATCACCCTGACGCAGCCATTCTCAAAGCCACTGACCACCACCGTGTCGCAGGCGTCCAGGCAGGTAACAGGGACGTATTCACCACCAAATGGCCTCAAAAGGCAATCGCCAAGAGTCCTGCAATGCAGCTGAAACAGATGATAAAGATAAACCTACAGAGGATGGCCCACTTATATAATTGTCTCTGCAGCCAGTTGTGTTTGGGTTTTTATAATACATATACTTTTTACTTATGAATGACTGCAACAACATGTGCGTATGATAGATGAACAAAATATGCGTTGTCTGGAAGGCACCTACATGACCTGCCCAGTGCCGCAAGAACTGTTGATCTTACATCACCTCTGTTTCACTCCAGGAATCAGGTGGATACAAGAAATCATATTGTTCCAAAGCTGCTATGAAAGAAATGGACAGAGAAGGCAGCCACCCGCACACAGCGCATTCCAACAAATGGGTATGAGACAGGTTGCAGAACTTCTCATGGTTCACACCTCCAATGAAACAATCACTCTCCAATCCACCTATTACATGGGGATGAGCACCAGACAAATGGCAGCTTCGAACTGCTGCCATTGTCCTACTTCGCAGGCAGAAGAATCACATGCTGCCACTGCTGCAAACGCAATTTTTCACACCTACATCGCCTGGCTATCCACAGCAACAAAGACTGGCTGTCTGTTAGGTTTGTAGTGAGGGAAACCGAGAACAAATGTATGCTGGGACATGTTGTTGACACCATTCCCAACACCAGCCCACAGCATGGGCACAGGCGGTGGATGGCTGCAGTGGGAGTACAGGCTTGAGTGGGAGGCATGATGCCTCAGACTGTTGCAAATCGCTACAATCTGATTTGCAATAATGGGCACACCCCAGCTTCTCAAAGTCCAAAATGCCCTCACTTCAGTCTGCCAAGCCTCTCTGCCTTGATCAAACCACCTTGCCATGTTGCCACCAGCATGCCCTGTCCACACCCAAGGCCTGTTAAGAGGCTAGTGCCACAAACACAGACACATATATGCAAACAGCATGTGCCGCACCAGGCACAGGACAAAACACCTGCCAGTGGGTCTTCTACTCTGCCTAAGTGGGTTCTGCATCAGATGTATACACAAATACCAGCAAATAAGCATACCTATCTATTTCTTCACTTCCCTACATGCAGTTACTAATGCGCCTCACCTTGGGAGATGTTCCTAGGGCCTTGAGTCCCGTGACGCTGACATCCGTCTGACCGCCATACTGCTCTGGCAGCTGCATCGCTAGCGTTGCCACCGGGTCCTGCTCTTCTGGCGCATTGTCCTTTCCTGTAGTGTCAGGGGGCACACCACAAAAGTGCAGCCACAGTGCAGCAATATAGACTTGGCAGATTGTGGTCACCTGGTTTTCTGAATCTGCTGGATTAACAGAGGGTATATAATACTGCCTCCGTTTCATTAGTCAGGTCCGATCTCAACTTCTTACTAGACCTTGGCAAGCTCAACTCAATCAATGAATCTGCCACCATATTTGGGTTATTTGGTTGATTTTAGCTTGATGTGGATCTTTCTATGTTAGCCACCACCACACAACATGGCATTTGACAACCTTTTCAATAACATCCCTGTTCAATTCCATGCAGGCCCCCAATTCCACGCGTTGTTGCATTGGCCATATTCCTGCATGTCCCAACCCAATGCACCAAAATTCATTCCGAACCTTGTTGTAGACAACACGTAGGTACTATTACACCCTTTTCACATATTTTTACCATTTCTATCACACTTTTTGGGATCATCTCTTCCAGTATGCTGAATCGTGCTGCCGACATTCTTGATTACAACAATTGGCTGTGTTTGCTTCAATCTCGGGCGTTTTCTAGGTTGATGCAAGTATGTGCGGTCTTCAAAACCTTGGCACATCTGAAGGATAGATGATCTTGCAATGATCAAGGTGTCTCTTGGCCTTCCACCATCACTTGCACACAGTTGTTGTTATTGCCACAAATTTTGCAGCGAACTGGAATCCTTTTCCTTGCAGATTCTGTTTGGCATCAAGGCGAATCTTCAGTGGGCATTAAACCACCGAAGCATACATCTCTCCTTGTGATAGCTCAGATGAATCCAGCTCTTGTTAAGGGCGAGGAAAACATGTTGTATCCCATCCATTGCTCAGAAAAAATGGAAAATCGTGTTTCTTGACATATCACAAGAACAGCAGCATCATTTGGAACGTTTGAGGGCTCTACGAATAGCTCTTGATATGGCGCTTCGAAGTTGTTTCGGTCAATTTTTCTGACGCACACGTTTTGACCTCCGTTTGGGCAAAGTTGTGATCGGACACGACTTATGAAACAGAGGTAGTATAACTTAGGAATGTCAACATGTTCGAGATACAGTCAACTGCTTTAAGTAATGACTATGTGCATCGTTAAATAAACTGCTTACAGGTACACCAGGTATCGCCACATATGATTAAGTAATATTTTGACACACATTAACCAGGGGATAATTCAGACACTCCATCTGTCAGCATTCTTGTTTGCAAATGTGCCACTGATGTGGCCTTTCCAGTCCAGGTAGTTGCACATCTGCCTTGTACTTGGTTATGGCCAGCACATGTTAAATCAGGACAGCATGCAGAAGGCCAAAGCATAGAATACTGCGCTTTGTCCCCAAAGCAGATAAACAAACGTCCAGTAATTTGTCAGGGCAAGCAGAGGTCAACATGATCAGAGGTCAGCACAACCTGCACCAAAATGGATGCCCATCTATCTGATAGACCATCCCACCTGCCAGTGCCCACTCCCTAATGGTGCCATCGTCGCCTCCGGACACCAGTCGGTCTTTGCCAACTGCCAGTGCATAAACCTCCCCCGTGTGGCCCAACAGGGAGGTCAGCCACTCGCCTATGCATGCACACCAAGCAGTCCAATGCAGTCCAATTCCTGTGATTTGCGGTTTACCAACATCATGTGACAAACAATATCCCTTGCACCCTGCAAGTGACAGCTGCTGGTGCAACAGCTTGCAAATGTCAGTGTGTCATCTTTCCAGGTCACCATTCAATGTGGTCATCTGATGTTCCACTGTGCATATCAATCTGGCTTTATTCAATCAGACAAGCAGATCCAATCAATCATACATTTGGTCCAATTCAACACAGATGCTTACAAGATATGCAGGAAGTTATCAATATGTAGCATGAAGCAAAATCATGTAAGATGGACAGTTTTCAATTGTCCTAGCCAGCAAAACATTGAACACATGACATGGTGCATAGCAACCTTTAGGTAAATGTCCGGCTGGATTGGTAGTTGGAGACAAAACAACAAGCACATGTGTTCAACCAGACACGCATACAAGATATCAGCTAAGTACAAACACATCTAACAAGGCATAAATTAATTTCAATCAAACAGTGAGACTGAGGCTTTGGAGGAAAATAGCATGCAACCTTGCAAGTTAAGGGGGCCACCTGTCTGCAGGTCATAGCGGTTAATGTGAGCATCCCCCGCCCCACTATAGAGAACCCCTCTGCCGGCATCGGCTGCAACACAGTACACGGTTCCTGAATGGCCCTCGTACGAGTTCACAGGGCCCCTCAAATTGCGGACGTCCCATCGGTGCGCACACTCGTCAGCACCACCTGCATGTGCCAAACATCGCCACAGTACACTATCATTTCAGTCTGATGCAATCTTGCATTGGAAGGAACATGCCCACCACTAGCACCACACTCTTGCTTTTCTGTAGCTTCCCGGCAAGATGCAAAGCTGGAAACAAGGATATACTATTACAGTGTCAACCTGGCACAAAGTGTGTTTGAAGTTGACCAACTTGTGCAGTCTCAACTGTGTTTTTGAAGTATTTTCCCAGATGTTAATTGAATGGGTAAGTTGGTATAAGGAACATAGTGCGCTGCCCCTATTTACTTCTGTTATGGTTAAATGCAAATATTGAATGTTGCTCATTCTCCCTGTTTGTTTCTAAATGCCACGCAAAGTTTGGAAAAGATGAATGGCCAACACTACACGATCAGCCAACCATTTGCTAACTTTCTTTCCACATGAAGTACCAATATGGCCACACCATTGGCAGTGCTATGAACACGAGGCAGGAGGTTGCCACTCAAGCTCTTTCAAGAGCTTTGCTGTAATCCAGCAAGTTCGCGGCGCTGGCAACTCCATGCATCACAAGACAGGATGCAAGCACCACATCTGCTGAATTGAATCACATCGAGTCCAGAAACTAACAATCACCCTGCTTTCAATGACGATCATGATCCCAAGTGCTTTCTGAAGTCTGAAAGTTGGTACAGGTGTTCGACTTGCCTCCTATCAACGACCTGTCAGCACTTGCTGTTGACCACATGTTGCTATGCACGCCAGCGCGTAGACTTCGTCGGCATGTGCCTCTACCGCCCAGGCTGCATTCCCCTTCAAGTATCCAATCATCCTGGGGTCCCAGGCTTTCAGCATCTTGTCACTTCCAGCCGTGCATATCACACCATGGGGCTCAGTGCTCGATGCCTCCACACCACAACCTGCACAACACAGCAGTGGCAATGGCAGATGCAAGATGCACCTGATTGACTGCTAGCTATGTATCGTTTCCTGTTCTGTCTTGTCATTTAACGTTCAATATATCAAATGCAATACCCAACAGGAGCTGGCACTCATACGGACAGTACATACATTTTGCGCAAAGTGCAACCAAGTGCCGAAAGGATAATGAAATACAGAAAGGACGGCAATGCAGCTGGGCAAATAGCACAAGAAGGAATCACAACATGCGTGGGTTTTCTGGATGTAACTTGAACGTCGACAGAAGCAAATCTGCCTGAACCATCAATATATTGGACGATCGAATGAATGGCACAGCCGCACCCACCATCTCATTGGACAAATTGGCAAAACGTTTGGAACAAACGTTGTGCATGGAATCTTGTACACTGTTGCCTTTCATACACAAGGGCTGCGTTTCTTGGCTTTCTATAAAATGACGTCAAACAACACCAAAAGCAAAACAAAATGTAGTAAGCACAGCCAAGGTACATTTTGTTGTTCAACATGCTGGTTTAAAAAACACACCACAACAGAGGACAGACACTGTTGATCCTGGCCTTGTCAATGATATCATAACCAGTTCTTTGGCACCCAAATCGCTTATTGGGGCTGCAAGGGCTGTGACGGGCTACGCTTTGTTCAATGAAGTAGATAAAGAGTTTCGAACAGGGCTGGTGGGCGACTTTCTCAACTGCACACAGTTTGCACGAACTCAGACAACTGCCACACAACACAGCAGCAATGTTGCCCCAGAACAGGCAGGGGGATTGAAAATGTGTATTAATTGGGAGATCTGCCGGCAGGGGTCAGATATATAAGACTCTTCTATGTTCATGTTTCATGCAATGAGTTGACAACAAGAACAGTGAAGCAACACATTAAAAAAAATTGCCACACCCCAACTGCAGACACAGGTGCTCAGATCTGCGAAAGAGAGCCATTTACTGTTGTGGTATTACTGTACCTTCGAGCAGTGCAATGCACTGCGCGGGGGCCTGGTGCGCCAGCAGCAGCCGAGTTGCGCAGGACCCTGCCTGCACAGTTATCAAACAATGCCCTGTGAGACATGTTATGCCCCTACGGTGTACAGTCCTTGTGTGCATGGATGCCGGGCAGTACATCACCCCAGCCGCTTGAAACCACTGGGTCCTTTGTCAACAGCCAGAAAAAACACATATAATGCTGCGTAAACTCCAGATTCTGAACTCAGCACTGACAAGCCCAGTGGCAAGCTTGTCGATTCTCATGTTGCTGCAATGGATCCATTCATAAATTCAATCGCCTTAAGGACAAAGTTTGCACCTGTACTACACTGCACACTGGCTTCCTTTTCGGAGGAGGGCTTGGAAGTCACCTGCCTCCAAATCTGAGCCAACAAGGGCTCCGTCGTTGCCCACACTCCATGCCCAGAGGCTGTTTGCCCCACCACTGAGTGCTATGCTGTTCACGCAATACCTTTGGCTCCCTCCAACCTGCACAACTGTATGACCAGTCAGAACAAGATCTTGGGGTACAAAAATGTGCTCAACACCTCCTTGAGGATGCAAAGGTGTCTTTTTTCAGATCTGTTGATTGGAATCGAAGCAGCAATACACAGAATGTTCCCACAACCTCCCTCGGCAGCATGCAAGGTCTTATGAGGCTGATACCTCCTGGACATGAATTGATCAAATGCGTGCAAATCAAAATGCAAATACTGCAGCACTGTAGTGCGAACAGTACATGGACACAGTCGTAGTTCCTGGGGATAATGGCAGTGGCATGGTTATCGTGTAAGCACGCACATACAGAACGATGCAGGCAAAGACATGCAGAGCAATATTTTAAACCAAAATTGTGAAGAGATTTAGAAGCAAGATTGCATTCTTCTTGGGTCATTCAAGCTGGGGCACAACCAGATATTCCTTTCGAATTTCCAATATAGTACAGATGCTGCTTTCCCTGTGCGCTAGAGACACAAGAATTGCCGTACTGTTGAACTGGAGCAAAGGCAATGTATCGAGATGGCATGGCAGAATGCATCCAAAAGCAACCTAATTGTGGGTGCAAGGGAGCTGTTCAGTATTGAGACAACATGGATATTTAGGACAGGGCCACATCTCTTGTGACCACGCACCCCCCACTTCCCATGAACGTCTGGCATCAATATCGTCTTTGTGGCTGAGCATGAATGCCAATTCTGCACAAGCTTCTTGAAGTCCACATTGTTTCTATCTCCTTGCACAAGCATCTGTCAAAAGAAAGAGAGCTTCAGGAAAGGCACACTCCATTTGGCCTGGGTGCTAAGGGTACAATGCTTGCCATCACATTGACAGTTCCTGGGACTCCCTTGTTGGCTGTTGACTAGTGCTGAACAAAGGAAGAACAGATGCTGCACTGAGGAAGCTGTTCGATGTTCACAGCCAAACTGAGTGCCACTTGACACAGCCTGACAAAACAAGATTGTTAAACATGCCCAACCAGAATAACAATGGGAGCATGGGCCGTTGCCGCAGCTCCCTGTGGCCCTTGTGGGCTATTGAAATTTGGTACGCTGTAGTTTTCGCACGCAGCAGAGTCAGGTGACCTCGATATCTTTGCCCTCCCTTTCCATGGATAAGAGCACAAGGTACACACCCCAAATTGAACAGCATCGCAGGGCTTGTTCCCAGGCTCTACTCAGCACGGTTGCTTACAAAGATGGAGGAAACTGAGGAGACCAGAAATAGGCAGGAAATCATGTCACAAGCACAGGCACCGTTGTGCAGATTTTGCCACACCGTACAGGATGGGAAGCGCGAGAGGGCTGGTGGGCTCAATTTGTGGGCGAACATGCGCCAACAATCTAATTTTCCTCAGAATTTGGAATAGACATGAAATGGGCAATTCACCACTGTGCAGCAATCAACGCCAAACCCTTTTCCATGCTACAAAATTCCATGGACCCAAGGAGGGCGTGCAACTCAACCTGGCACCCACCGTTCCCAAGGAAGAACGAAAGACGACAAAAAGAATGGAAAAATAAAAGAAAGTCGAGAAGGACATCCCCCGCGATCGGTCAGCGTGAGTCCTGGACACGCACCAACTGCGCCGGCCTCAGGCTGGATCCGAAGAGCTGGCGCCAGAATGCCGCCGCGGACGTCACTTCGCGCAGCACGGCGCTCCACTCCCTGTTGGCCAACGCCGCCCGCCCGAGCGTCAACAGGTCCAATTGACCAACGATCGCCCTGGAGGCCGCCATGGGCAGTGACCTCAGGCTCTCGAAGGGCCGGGGCTGGTCCTGGCCGGCCGAGCCGCCCCGCGGTTCCTCGTGCCGCCTTGCCATGCTTTCCCGCCAAAACTCAAACCCAGGGTTGGGTGCGCACTAGGAGATCCCTTGGAAGTGTTGGGCAGTGGTCGACGTTGATTTGAAACCAAGGAGTTGACAAAGAATAGTGTCAGCAATGCTTAGTCCCTCTGCTTATTTGCTGAGATTCGATTCTTATTTTGGTGACTGAGCTGATGTGGATCAGTGGTCGTAGTTCCTAAGTTGCGGCACCGGCGATTGTGACAGCTGGGCTGCCACGGGCTTCGTGCAGGCCACCGAGCCACCCACAAGGGACGGCCCGGCCGGTGCGCGGGGTCGGAAGGCAGCAACGGCGGCAGGCGATGGAGGCTCAGGCTTCGCTTGGCGAAGCACAATGCAGGCAGGTGATTCCCTTTCCTCGAGTTGCGAACGATCCGCGGTTGTCCGCGGTGAGGTCGAAGGTCTCTCTGCGCCTCGCTGGTGACGATCCGCCGACAGCCGACGTTCTGACCGTGTTGGATCGGGCTGTTGTCTCTAGCGGAGCCTGCATTGGATCCTTGTTACCGTGGGATCCCAGATGGCGTGTTCCCGCGGAGAATTTGTTCAAACGTTTTTGGCGGCAGGGGCAGGCGCTTGCGATGCGTGGGTGGCCTCACGCGACAGCACCCACCACTGTGGGACAGGACGATGGTGCAAACAGAGAGATGGGCTATCGTCTGTAGCGGAGCCTGCGTTGGATCTCTGTTCCCGTGGGATCCCAGATGGGCTGTTCCCGCAGATAATTTTTTCAAACGCTTTGGCGGCAGGGGCGGCGCTTGCGGTGCGTGGGTGGCCTCACGCGACAGCGCCCTCCGCTGTGGGACAGGACGGTGGTGCACACAGATATATGGGCTCTCCTCTCTAGCGGAGCCTGCGTTGGATCGTTGTGCCCTTGGGATACCGGATGGGCTGTTCCCGCGGAGAATTTTTCCAAACATTTTTGGCGGCAGGGGCGGGCGCTTGCGATGCGTGGGTGGCCTCACGCGACAGTGCCCTCCGCTGTGGGACAGGACGGTGGTGCACACAGAGAGATGGGCTCTCCTCTCTAGCGGAGCCTGCGTTGGATCTTTGTGCCCTTGGGATACCGGATGGGCTGTTCCCGCGGGGAATTTTTTCAAACATTGTTGGCGGCAGGGGCGGGCGCTTGCGATGCGTGGGTGGCCTCACGCGACAGTGCCTTCCGCTGTGGGACAGGACGGTGGTGCACACAGAGAGATGGGCTCTCCTCTCTAGCGGAGCCTGCGTTGGATCGTTGTGCCCGTCAGATCCCGGTTGGGCTGTTCCCGCGGAGAATTTTTTCAAACATTTTTGGCGGCAGGGCGGTGCTTGCGATACGCGGGTGGCCTCACGCGGCAGTGCCCACCGCTGTGAGACAGGACGGTGGTGCACACAGAGAGACGCACCGCACCGCTCCTGAGCCATTGGGAATCGCGGGCGAGCGATCAGGGTAAGCGGAACGACGGTAATCGAAACAATGAAAGAAAAGGGGGGGGGGGCAGCGTTACTTCTGCCAGCGCTCGCAGTTGCGTGAAGGCAACAAGACATCAGCAAACCTGCCCCTGGGGGCCAGTGGCTGATTGCCGCCCTGCCAAGCTGCCAGGCTAGCATTGGCACCAAAAGAATTCGAATTCCGTAGTTGCAGGAGCTGTCGCAGTCTTGCTCTTGTCCTCAGTGACTTTCAAGCTTTGTAAAAGGACCGCAGGATTTAGAATGCTCGCCTGGTTTGGGGTGCTGTACGTGAATGTATGTTCCCTGACACAATGTCTGTGTTGTGCAGGATTGACCCATCAATCCATGCTGGCCTGCATGTCCACCACACATGCTGCGCAGCAGGGGGGCCACCAATGCACCAGCAACAGCTGAGCTACGTTGTCAAAAGATCGGCAGAGGACCAATGTTGACAACAAGGAATGAAACAATGCCACTATTGACAACAAGGAATCGAACCTAGTTAGAAATGCCAAACTTCACAATAAGGTAGAGCACCACAAAGGAGCTGCTGTGTGCAATTTTGCATGCAAGCATCAGACAACTAGAAATTGAATTGCCTCGCCAACTCCATCAACAACACCAATGAATTGCATTTCTCAAAAAGGCAACTGCATTCGCAGGGCAAGAACTTCAGTGACTGCAACTTCAAGGCTTCAACAGCAGTGCAAGAAGCGAGCAGCTTACCAAAAGAAAGGAAGGAAACAAGTTGAGCTCCAACAACTTCCAAGCTCAACAAGCACTGATCGCCTTTTTCAAGGCTGCCACTCAGTGTCATGCCCATTCTGAAGAAAGCAAACCTGATTGTTAAAGGAAAGATACAAAAACATAACAAGTTCGTGCATTGGACAACTTCTATCAGAGCCTTGGGAATCTGGGCCAATCCTAGACAATCCTAGCTGCCTCCAGAAATGTGGAAACACGCATGCCAAGAGCGATCGATTCTTGCCATCGCAACGAATCATTTGGTCTATTCGCAAGGGTTGCAGGGCATTCTCAGCATTATGTACATGGTAATATTCAAAATTTCTGGGAGACATTATCGAATCAAGCGTGTTTATATTACAATCCGTTTGAGAATTGAAGTGTTTGCACCGGCTGTGTTTACCCCTGCACAGCTGTTGCATTGTGAGAAGCTTTTGATGTCTCAAGTAAAAACACTTGGAATAGTTCAGTACACAGCTCCAGTGACTGTTTTTGCGTCTGGGTCGCTTGCAGCAACCTAAAAGAATGCATGTTTCATATGAATCACATAATTGATTCATCTAATTCAGCCACATGAATAGTTCATATGAATCACACATGCATGTGCGCTCGATTGCTGTCAAATCGAATGTGATTCAGTTAGATCCAGGCTTGGTTTTTACGCCGTAAAAACTGATCGTATTTACGTTTTTACGCGTAAAAATGCGTAAAAATACGTAAATACAACGTAAAAATTGCCTGGTGTACATAAGGACAGTACATATACATTTACAGAGTCCGGAGAGTGGCAGCCAGACGCCTTGGAAGAGGCAGAAAACGAGTTTTTCCTAAACGCCATTATCGCCCTTGCCACAGGCGAGGTGGACATTGTGCTCCGGGTGATGGAGATGGCGGAGGACTGATCATTGTATGCAACTTTCATCGTGTAAACTACGTGTGCCAGGGAGCCGTAAAAACGTAAAAATAGCCGTAAAAATAGGCCCTTTTGCAAATTTACGTTTTTACGCGTAAAAACGTAAAAGTAAAAACGTAAACGTAAACGTAAAAACCAAGCCTGGTTAGATCGAAGATATCCTATGCATTCGTACTACGCAGCATGAGAACTGTAAAACATTGAACCCTTCCACATAGTAACGTAACGCTTGGCCTTTTTTTGCAGAGAAAACACTACAAATAATAACGCAAAATTCGGCCTTTCTGTGCGGAGCAATGCAAAAGAAATAAAAATAACGCTCTCAAAAACAAAGTGCGGAGAGAAAACCATAACGGTGAAATTTTCTGATGCGGAAGGGTTCAATATTTTACAGTCGCCTGTGATTGCTTGCTAAATACCGTTATGGAATAAATATGGGTATGGATAACTGCTCACGTTTTCCTGTGTTTCAAGTCGGCCAGGCTTGGTTTTTACGCCGTAAAAACTGATCGTATTAACGTTTTTACGCGTAAAAATAGTTTTTACGTTCTTACGCGTAAAAATGCGTAAAAATACGTAAATACAACGTAAAAACTGCCTGGTGTACATAAGGATAGTACATATAGATTTACAGAGTCCGGAGAGTGGCAGCCAGACGCCTTGGAAGAGGCATAAAACGAGTTTGTGCTAAACGCCATTATCGCCCTTGCCACAGGCGAGGTGGACATTGTGCTCTGGGTGATGGAGATGGCAGAGGACTGATCACTGTATGCAACTTTCATCGTGTAAACTACGTGTGCCAGGGAGCCGTAAAAACGTAAAAATAGCCGTAAAAATAGGCCATTTTGTAAATTTACGCTTTTACGCGTAAAAACATAAAAATAAAAACGTAAACGTAAACGTAAAAACCAAGCCTGAAGTCGGCGTTGAAACACAATTTAAGGTCCAAAATAGTAATTTCATAACCAACCGACATCAACCAACATCATCGATGGTATAGAAACGCAATTAAATGTAACGATGGCTTTGGAAATCCTACCAAAAGTATTCCATAACTGAAAATATCAGGCGAGTGATTTTACCAATGTCACATACAATTCCTCCAAGCTTGGATTGGGTTCACTTAATCAGGTTAAGGAATACAAATTAATCTAGTCATCTAATACAACAATGAACAAGGGAGTTAACTTATTTAAGCCACTATTGTGGTTGAACTGATGTATACTACACTGTAGCGATATCCTTGTCAAGCCCCAGAACATCTCATTATCGTCTCCGAAAGATTCGTCTGTCGGCTGCCTGAGTTCGTTGACAAAAGGGAAACGGCATGAGCAATGCCCCGACACTTTGCGTACATGGCGTTGGCGATTCAACCACCAAACCTGTGCACAAACAGCCCATGGGCTCTGGACATTCAGGCGCATGCAACTGAATGGGTATGAACAGAAACGGTGACAAAAACCGCAGCGATTCACGCAGATTCGCTCAGAAATCCATGCAACTCGAACGATGAGCATGCCATGGGAGTGCTGCAGCAAAAACCAAACGTTCCGAACGAAAACCGTTGGGTTTGAAGCCAGACTGGTCAGCGTACACGCCACGAACTGTGTGCAAAATGTGCCGCATTCAGAGAAGCCAACAAGGTGCTTACAACCTCAACAAATGATGTTCGTTCCGTTGCATCCCTTCCAGAAACGGGCAGCGCGACCTTGCAGGGCAAACGTGTCGCCACCGCCACCCAAAATAATCCGCTCCAACTTCGTACATGTCGCCACATCAAATCCATGTCGATCCCTAAAAAGTTATGGGGACTCTGGGAGTTCACATCAGATTTCCCCCAAGCCCGTCCTATCGCCGAACAGGTTTCTCATTTGCGTCAACCATAACCAGCTGC